GAATATTTAACATTTCTCACATTTTATAGTTGATCTGTAAATTCAGATCCTTTTAAGAGTTAGCATGATAGAACAGCAAGTTCTACTTTTGATTTCTTTAGGTCAGACTGAGTTACTGTTCATGGTAGTATTTAAACAGCTATTCAAAAACACAAGACTAAAACTTTTACTGTTGTGTGTGTGATTTGCTTCCTGTCAGCTCATTAGAAGGACTAAAGTGAGCAAGGTACAACATGAGCACAAATTTGTATGTGACCATATAATACTTAATTAAAAACAAATCAGATTGAAAAAAAAAAAAGAAAAGAAAAGAAAAGAAAAGAAAAGAAAGTAAAGAGATGGGGCCGGGGAGATGGCTCAGTAGAATAAGCGCTTCCCTGGCAAGCGCAAGGGCCTGAGTTCAATCCCCCGTTCCACAAAAAAAAAGTGAAGAATACTACTAACACTGTTCCCCTCTCCCAACACACACATGAAGTATTCCACACTGGCCTTCAACTCCAGATAGCCTGCGCTGGCCTCAAGCTTGTGGCAATCCAGCTGCCTCAGCCTCCCAAGTGCTGGGATCCCAGGCATGGGCCACCATGCTTGGTTTAATAGTGCGATTTTGCAATACTGAATAATCCAAAGCATTTAGGCTCTGAACATCAAAGCTGCTGGCATCATGCAAAGAGATAACATCCAGTCCCTCTTGATGGCAACACATGCCCCGAGACACAGTCCAGCCCAAATGAAACTGTCTCACAAAGACAGTGCTATTCAGTACTAGTACTAGTACTAGACAGTACTATCCAGAACAATTTTCTAGGATGACAGAAAAATGGTATCATGTTGTCCAGGACAGGAGCTGCTGAGCACACACTGCCACTCAAGCATTTGGAATTCTTTTTCTGATGCTGGGATTTGAACCCAGGACCTCGTGTGTGACAGGCAAGTCATGCCACTGACCGACTAAGCCACTGAGCCACTGCCAAGCTCAAAGAGCCTACTTTCCCATCCAAATTAAAAGCTACTGTGCCTACAGGAACCATGCTGACAATGCAGTGTGGCCCCACCACCACCCACAGGAGAGACTCCGAGGCCAAGGAATGGGAGCCTCTCATCAGCCAAACCCAGATCGGTGTAAACTACAAAACAAATCAACTCATGCAGCCACAGAAGAGAAAGGGAAGGCCTACGTGTAAAGACTGAAAGACAAGTAAATCAATTTCGACACTGGGCAGGCTGATGAAGCAAACTGGGGGAAGAGAAATTGGCTAGTCAGTCAGCAAGGCGGACGCAAACGATCACGTGGGTGCGATCGCACACTTGAGCCTCAGCCATCCGTGGCATGTGTCAAAGTATTTATACCCTAAATGCAGTCAAGTGACGTTTCCTCTGGCCATGATGAGGACATCAAAGAGCTGCTCACACAAATCACATGCCGATGAGGAGGGGCCTTAGCATCTTTGGGAGGCCACAGGGGCAGGTGTGGCCCATGCTTCTGCAACGTGTAAAGCCTGAGATTTGCTTTCAGGACAGCAGAGTGGGTGTTTATGGGAAGGACTGGCCATGAGTAATGGTGACTGAGGCAGTTGACAGATCACTACTCCACTGCCACCAGAGGAATAATGGTGAATGAGGCAAGTGACAGATCCCTGCTCCACAGCAGGGGGCCCACCCCACATTCACTCATCTATCACTGCTGGGAGTCTTGACCAGAAAGTCAGGTAAAAGGTCGAGAATGCTTTGATGGAATCTAAGCTTGCTTTCTTTTGAAGAACCCACAGGAGGAGAGTGTGGGGGATATGGGGTAAGAAGACAGGGGCACAGACACCTGCTCCAGGTGCTGCCAGCCTCAAGTCAGCTCTGAACTTCATTTCTGGGCACACTCTAGGGTCAGAAGGGTCAGTATTCCTTGAGCCTCTCTGCCCCACAACCAGGGATCTGCAAATGTGGCATGGCACCTGGCATAAACACCTTCCTCCCCCCTCCTATCTGTTTAGCAAATCACAGGGCCCCCAGTGGTGGAGTACCTTTCACAACCCTGGGGGTGGGGGCTGCAGTCTGAGGCCCAGGACAGGGCTGGAGTGGGCAGGGCTGGCTGCCTTCCCAAGCTGTTCCACTCACCACTGTGAAGGCTCAGGTCATTACCAGAGCAACACAGCCATCAGCACACCTGCTCTGGTCACTGTCCAAGTGACTTCCTTCTGGGCCACTTGCTGTACCCACAAAAGCACCCCAAACATGCATCCATTACTTATTTAACTTACCTGACATTCCTGAGGCCCATTCTAATTTTTCCCCACTGTACAAATGAGGGAACTGAGGGTTCAAAAGGAGACAAGGGAGGGCTGGGAATAAAGTTCGGTGACATAAACACCTGCCTGGCAAGCGCAAGGTCCCGAGTTTGATCAGCGGTAACACACACACACACACACACACACACACACACACACACACACGAGATAAGAGATCTATAGCACCCTCAGCAGCACCCATACTTTCTGGCATGGCCTCATGACAGTCTTGCCCCATCCTAGGAGCAGTCCCAGCTCTGAGTCTATTCCTTACCCAAGCTGCCCACAGGTCCTAGGGCCTGTTCTCTCCAGTCTCCTCAGCCTCTAAACACACTTCAAATACAATTGCATCCCTGCTTGAGCTTCTGGTGTGACACTAATAATAACAGCTGTGTTCCCCCCCACACCCAGCTAACAGCTGCAGTTAATGGACATACACCTCTGGTCCACCCTTCCACCCTCCATCCTCACCACACTAACAGGAAAGGATTATCATTATCTCCATTTTACAGATATGGCAACTGAGGCCCTGAGGAACAAACAATTAGCTCAACATCACAGGGCTAAGCAGTGGACAAAGCTTAACTGCCACAGCCAGAGGCTCATCTCCCTGGCCCAGACCCCAGCAGAGAGCTCACTAAGGGTGGCTTGCTGCTGTCCCACGGACACCAGTTCAAGCCTGCTCTTCCTCTGGTATCCAGCAAGGCTCTTCAGGCTCTGAAAACTAAGTCATTAAAGCAACGCCCTGGGCAGCAGTAGCTCAGTGGTAGGACCTGGCTTAGCATGCACAAGGCCTTAAGTTCCCGCCAAGCACTGTCAAAAGAAAAAAGAAAACCTGAGCTCAGGCTGGGGAGATAGCTCAGTGGTCTAAGCACCTGTGTGGCAAGCGCAAAGACCCAGGTTTGATTCTGAGTACCACATGCATGCCTGCCACTTAAAACCGGCTGTGGTGGGGCATCCCTGTTATCCCAGTGCTGGGGAGTCCAAGCCTCACCCTTTGTGGCTTTCATCCTCCTCCAGTAAAGGTCTTTCTTAGGGAAACTGCAAGAGTTCTGTTGCCCTGATTAAGTATGTGACAACTGTCAACACCCAACAAACCCTGCTCAGGGACTAGAGATTGGGCAACAGGCCTCAACACTGAGCTATACCTCCAGCCCGCTTTTTTTTTTTTTTTTTTTTTCTTTTTTTTCAGGAGAGTCTTCCCAAGTCACTAAGTTGCCCAGCCTGGGGTGAAACTTTTGATCTTCCTGCCTCAGCCTCCCACAGTACTGAAATCACAGTCGTGCGTAGCCAGCCCAGATGGCTGCTTCGAACACATTCACACCAAGATGAGTCCATATCTGGAGCAGGAGCAGAAGCAGAGGACTGGGAAAGGGGTGGCGGGGAAGACAGCTAGATAACGGTCAGGGAGCCAAAGGTGCCGCGCCCCCAACCCACGCGCTGCAGGTTGAAGCCGGTGCGTTTCTCCCCTCAGGGAAAGATTCCAGTGGCGCTATCCGCGGGGGGGGGGGGGGGGGGCGGGGCCAGGAAATAGCATCCCCCAGCATTGGTTAGGAGCTGGCTCTTGCTTCCCCACTTGCTCTCCAGGGGAATCTAGGCTGGGGATGGGGGCCAGAGGGGCAAACTGGCTACAGTGGCTCCCAAAACAACGTTCCAATTGTCCTTCCCGCCTGGTGATAAACATGCAAGTAGGGCACTTTGTAGAATTTCCCCAAGGGCGGGGTGCGCCACCAGCCTCAGCAAACTGTTCCCTCCCACTTAACTCCACCTGGCCCAGAACCGCCTGGAGCCAGGTAACTCTGGACTTCGGCGACACTCCCAACAGCTAAATCCCGAGAGCAGTAGACCACAACCTTTAAAGGGCCCGCTTGGGCCTCCGACCCAATTCATAACCAAATATGCCACAGTCCACTCCCCCGCCAGCTGAGGAGCCAAGAACGTCCTTAGGAAACTAACGGCTGCCTTTCCAGAAGGTTACCTAGGGTTCCCCACCACCCTACCCTCTGCCCTGCAGCGCCCAGGAATCCTCGCCTGCCTCTCTGGGTGGCACTGTCGCCCACTAGGCCAGGCACTGAAATCGGGCGACTAAAATCCCCACCGCAATATCTCGCTGGTGAGGGGGCGAGAATGGCAGAACGGAGTTCCTTCTTCCGCGGGTAGCGGATCCTTCCAGCCGGGCAGATAATTCTGGAACTTTTACCCACGAAGCGCAGAGGGACACCGAGACCAGAATTCGCTGACAATTTTAGAATTCCCCACGGGGCACCGAAGCGCGACCACAGAGCGGGTAGATATTTCATTCACTGGGTTTGGGGCGCCAACCTAGGTGAACCCCTCTATCGGCTTGACGCATAAAGGTCTAATGGAAGACACCCCCAAAATGCCCACACTGACACCGTCTCACGGGCTTTCCAGAGTGCCGTGACACGGTCGGAATCACAAGGCTGTTCCAAGATGCACACCATCTCCTTTCCGACCCCAGGTCCCTGGCACGCGTCGTGCACGGCACGAAGCGGGCTCAGTGGGGAGGCGGCCGTGCCTAGTCCTTCGCGCAGCTCGGCGTCACGGTGAGAGGGTGGGGACCCGGGCGAGGGCGGGTGCCGGGTGCGCCGAAGAGGCTGGCGGGTGCCCAGGGGCAGGTACAGAGGGCGGGGAGGGCACCAGGCAAGGGGCCGACGCCAGGGCGTGGCACAGGTGGCGGCAGAGGCAGAGTCGACATCCTACCTTGATTTTTGACCTAGCAACCGCGCGCTGTTTCGCTGCCAAGTGTCCATCTGCGCCCTCTGCGTCGCCCCGCTCGGGGGTGTCGCACTCCGGGGCACGCGGGGACGAGCTGCTCTCGGCGCTTCCGGACTCGCCGGTGCTGCTGCTGCTACCTCCGTCGCTGCGACTGTCCTCAGCGCTGTGAAGCAGGCGGCCCAGGGCAACTGCAGGGCGAGAACAGCGGGGAAGCGAGACGCCCCGAGACCCACGAGACGTCAGGCCCGGGCGCCCGCGGCAAGGACCCGCCGCCCCGGACCCGGGCACCTCGCCAAGCAGGCGGCGGCGCGGAGGTGGGCGAGATAGCCGGAGTCGCGGCCTCGCACAGGCCGGGCGCGCGAGAGTCCCGCCCTCAGCCCCAACCGCAGCGCCCACGAGGGACCAAGGGCCACGCGCCGCGTAGTAAGCTCGCGCCAAGTTTCTTCGCGTGGAGGAAGGCAGATTTGATCTCCCTCCTCCTCCTGGGGACTTTTATGCCTTCCCATGGGGTGCAGGAAACCCCTGGGGTCTTCGGCGCCCTCCCTGGGCCACCGCGACCGCGCCGCAGTCAACGGTCCCGCGGGGCATGGAGAGGCTCGCACCCGGGAGGAGCACGGGCGCCCGGGCTTCCTGGCCTCGATCCCCACTCTCCCACCCTGGAAGATTCATGGGGACCAGGAGGGGATGTGGGGAGGGACCCCAGCCCCTTCCCCACGAGGAGCCGCCGCCCCCTACCAATCCCCGGAGCCCACCTGGGATGTAGGCGTCCGCGCGGTTCTCGTCTGGGAGCGCAGCCCAGCTGCGCTCCGCGGCGCCGGGGCTCCTGCGCTTCACCAGAAAGGCTTTGGGCATGGCGAGGCCCCCGCGCGGTCCCGCTCCGCTAGGCGCTGGTCCTGGCGGCGCCCCCCGGGCCCCCCCCTCGCCCCCTGCTCGTCCCTGCGCCCCGCGCGCCCGCGACTGTTGGCTCGCCGACTCCGGTGCCTTAAATCCAGGCTGAGACCACGCCGAGGAAAAAGTTTCCTAAGGTGGAATAGAAAAGGCACCAGGAAACTTGGGAGCGAGCATGCGCCCTGCAACATAACGGTGTCAACAAGCTCGCTACCTGTCCGACCGGTTCCGGCGGCCGCGCGGCCTGTCCCAGCCCTTCCCGCGGCATGAATGTTTGCAAAATAATTTAACGTCTCCGCTCCCCCCTCCCCTTTTTAAAAAGGGAGAACATTTTTTAATCGACCTCCGTTCCCTTCCCCCATTCCAGGGACCTCGAGTAAAATAATCCCAGATCCGCTCCAGCATTATTAAATGGGGGCTCCCGAGTGGGCCCCCTCCCCGCCCCCAAGTGAATTTGTCTACTACGAACAAGCCAGAAACCAGCTCGATTCCTTTGGGCCTCGCGGGTCGTTCCCTGAGATTGCTGAAATCTCGGTCGCCTGAAGGAGAAGCCGCCTGAGGACTGTTTGCTGGTAGTTTGGGAGCTTAAACGGTCCATCATTTACAATAGCTCTCTAAATAAACAGGGACAATACATTTTAAAATTCAACATCTTTAGAACAAGTACTGATTTCTGTCACTCAATCTAAGAAAAAAACAAAACTTGCCCCTCTAAAAACGCTACCACGCCAAGACCTTGCGCCCCGGGAGTCCTTCGCCCCTAATGGATACACAATAGAAACAAAAGCCAAGTGCGCGATATGCAAACGGAGCTTCCGAAGTAAGTGTCCACGCCTCGCCCACTCCCATTATTTCCGCCCCCCACATTGCGAGGCTAGGAAACTCCGGAAGCAGCCCGCCCTCCCGGATCGGCAGCACCCCTTGCTTGCTCTGCTTGGGAGGTGGCGGGGAAGCACGGTGTTTGGTTTTATTTCTATGTTCGTTCGCGCACGTCGGGGACCTCGGACTCCAGCCAGCAGCGGATGCAGGCGCGTGTGGCCCGAGGCGCCCGGTGTTCGGGGCTAACCCAGCAGCCGGCCTCACCTGTCTGTAACCCGAGCCGCCGCGCGCCCAGCCCACGGGCCGGGAACCGACACGGCAGAGCTCCGGGCGTCTTCGCTTGGCGTCGGCCTACCCGGCCATAGCCTGGTAACGGGTTTCGGCTGGGCAGGCGGATGCCCAGGGCGCACGCAGAGGGCGTAGCTGGGCGAGTTGCGCAGGGAACAGGGACGCCAGGGCCCCGTCTCTGCCTCGAGGGTTTACCCCCTCCGGACTGAACTCTGAACCCCCGGGTTAAGTCAGAGAAAAACCCTTTAAGAATGATAAAGACTTTGATCCGGACGAGCCGGAGCGGAGGAGAGCATTTTTTCTTCGCGGTGCGTGGAGAGGAGGCTGCTTTCTTGGCTCGCAGGCTCGTGGCGCAGCTTCTGGGAGACTGCGGGTGTATTTTTATCTGCCAAGGAAATAGAGATTTGCTAGAAGGAAGAGGCTCGGTTGAATGAAAGTAAAAATATAAATTACAGCTATGAAATCACACTGTTATCCCTCGTCTTTCAAAATCTTCAAGACTTAATTAAAAATGCTTTGTTTTATGAGATAGCCTATCCCATTTATAATCCCCCATTGACTTCCAAATAAAGAAAAACAGAATAACTACACTTAAAAAACTTGTATTCTAAACGATTGAAAAGCATCCACAATGTTTTGTTTTGTTTTTTTAAGACAGGATCTTGCTATGCAGTTCAGGCCTGAACTCATTATGTAGCCCAAACTCGCAAAGGCCCTCCTGCAACCTCCTCAATATTGGGATTACAGAGCACACCTGTGATACTTCCTGCCTGGTTTTTTTGACAGAAAAACTCTAAGGTATTGTCTTCCTCTTTTGTTTTTCTTTATCAGACTTGATAGGAATTTATAAAGATTTTGTTTTTATTATTTAAGACCTTTATTAACAAGTGCTAGCCGTTTGACTTTTTTTGAAAAATCATATTGACCAGATACAAAAATCTCAACTTGACCAGACACAAAACAATTTTTAAAACTTTTAAAAGTGTATTGATTTAAAAAAAAAAAAACAAAACAAACCCTCGTGGGGCCGGCGAGATAGTTAAGCGGTCTAAAGCGCCTACTTGGGGCGGGGGAGATAGCTCAGTAGAATAAGTGCTTGCCTGGCAAGCGCAGGGTCCTGACCCCTGGTCCTGCAAAAAAATAAAAAATAAAGCACCTGCTAAGGCAAGACCAGGGACTGAGGTTCTATCCCTGGCACGGCCTGGCCTGCCAGCCACGCCCCTATGGTGGGCTGAGCCGGCCACACACACACACACACACATACAAAATAATGAAATTTTAAAAACCCACATTTGTCATTTCTGAAAAGAGGCATTTTTAGGTAAAAATAGAATGAAATAAAACATGCTGTGTAGATAATGCAGATAGTTCCGGTTACTTGGTGAATGGGCAAAAGGCAAGCCAAAATCTCCAGCATGAAACTGGAAGAGACAGGAAGGATAACACGGGTCCACCTTCTACCCCATGCTGAGGATGCAGGTCCTGTGTAGCATCAGCAGAATGCAGCACAACATGCTACCTCGCCAGTTAGCATCACGATTCTTTTTTTATTTTTTGTATTTTAGGAAAGGGTCTACAGGGTGTTCAGGGTCTCACTACTAGATTGGACTCATAGTGATCCACCTGTTTACAGCCTCCCAAGAGCTGGGATTACAGGCACACACCACCATGTCTAGTCTCAATTGCTATCTCAGTGTGCCCCGGAGGCAGGGCAGGCAGGGCATGCCCGGTGACTGCTTGCAGGCGTTTTAATCCGCTGAGCTATTTGGCTGGCCCTAAGCAGCACAATTCTTTTTTTTTTTTTTGGCAGAACTGGGAATTGAACTCAGGCCCTTGCACTTGCACCCTTGCGCTTGCCAAGGAAGTGCTTATTCCACTGAGCTATCTCCCCGGCTCCTATCAGCACGGTTCTTCATAGCTAAACATTGAAAGCAGCCTCTATGTCCATCAATGGATGAGTGCATACTGGGGCTGGGGATACAGCTCAGCATGGCAGTGCCTGCCTGGCAAGCTTGAGGTCCTGAGTTCCATTCCTGGTACACACACACACACACACACACACACACACACACACACACAAAAGCCTCAGATGAGTGAATACAGAAAATGTGGTGCTTGCACACAATGGAGTTCTACTTTGCCACAGAGTTACCTGTAGGAAAATAGGTACACCTTGAGACCATAATGCTAAATGAACTAAATCAGAAGCAGAGCTTAAATAGCACATGGTTTCTCTTATATGGACCAAGGGGAGGAAGGAAGGAAGATGTGTTATGTAGGTGTGCCAACTCTACACAGGGACTATGAGGATTACGTGCCACACACATGTGCTAATGAACATAAAAACTGGAGGAAAAAAGACTCCTGTGATGTACTGCTGGGTGAAGAAAAGGTGCAGGGCCGGGGAGATGGCTCAGTAGGATAAGCGCTTGACTGGCAAATGCAAGGATCTGAGTTCAATCCCCAGTTCCGCAAAAAAAAAAAAAAAAAAAAAAAAAAGCAAAAAAAAAAAAGAAGAGGTGCAGACAGTTCTAAGGCTAGGATGTTGAGGAAATATTCCTAAAAATAGTTTGTAAGGTTGATATTGAAGTGCAGACTTGGAGAAGTAGACAGATCAAAGTGGCACAGCTTGGTACACGTTTTGCAGTCAGATTCCCCGACAGAAACTATGCTCAGCCCTCTATCCAAGACTAAGCCAATGTCTTGCAGACACTACAGCACAAAACAGAAAAAACAGAGGTCCAGGATTATAAAGGAAAAGACAAGACTTCTGATTTGTACTCAAGACAGTTGCCTAAGTAGAAAACCCAAAGTTATTAGAATGAGTAAAACAATTCAGCAAGGTTACGGCACAGAACTGTGTGGGAGTGAGCATGTGTACTGGTCACATTTCCAAACGCTGGAAAAATATGTGGTACAATAAAATTCACTTACAACAGCAATGAAAACACAAAGCTCCTTGGAATAAATGTTTTACAAACATTGGCGTTGGAGTAGCCCAGCAGCAGCATGCTCACCCAGAAGGCTTGAACCCTGGGTTGCATTCCCAGCGTTATAAAAGGAAGCGAGGGAGGGAGAGAAAGAAGTTTTTCACCTTTGTTGTGAACAAACTTAGACATTTTTTTACTGGACAACAATGGAGCTTGCGCCACAGCAACCATTGAAGAAGAGTAGCCATGGCCCTCCGCTATCCCATGGCTGTGGGCTGCAACAAGGGCCACAAGGTGACTAAGCATGTGAGCAAACCAAGGCACAGCCACTGTCGCTGACGCCTCACCAAACACACCAATTTCGTGCAGGACATGATCCGAGAGGTGTACGGCTTCATCCCCTACGCGGAGTGCCACGGAGCTGCTCAAGTTCTCCAAGGACAAAGGCGCCCTCAAGTTCGTCAAGAAAGGGTGGGGACATACATCCACACCAGGAGGAAGGGTGAGGAGCTGAGCAACGTGCTGGCCGCCGTAAGGAAGGCAGCCGCCAAGAAGCACTGAGCTCCTCTGGAATAAAGCTTTGCAAATAAAACAAACAAACAAAAACAGGAGAAGACGCTGATCAGTGGAAAGATTTGCCATATTGGGGGATTGTATAGACAAAAAGCCCAAAATACCCAAATTCTTCTGTGGATTTAATTTATTATTATTATTATTTTCCTTTATGAGACAAGGACTCATACATAGACCAAGATGGCCTCGAACTCAGGGCTTTTCATCTCAGCCTCCTGAGTGCTGGCTAGGATTGTAGGTGTGTGTCACTATCCCCAGTTTTGTGGAGTTATTTATTTATTTTTTCTTTTTGACACAGGGTTTCCTATGTCAAAAAGGGAGTTCAGGCTGATCTTGAACTCAGTTTGTAGCCCAGGCTGGCTTCAAACTCAAAGTGATCCTCCTTCCTCAGCCTGGTGAATGTGGGGATCACAGGCTGCACCAATTTACCCACCATTAAGTCTTTAAAACACTTGGAAAAACCAGGTTTAGTGGCGCATGCCTGTAATCCCAGCACTCAGGAGGCTAAGGCAGAAGGATCACTACGAGTTCAAGGCCAGCCTGCACTACAAAGTGAGACCCTGTTTCAAGCAAACAAAACAAAACAAAATTTGAGCCAGGCATGATGGCAAATGCCTGTAATCCCAGCTCTCAGGAGGCTGAAGTTGGAAGATTACCATGAGTCTGAGGCCAGCCTGGGCTACAGAGTATAAAATAAGTGTGAGACCAGCTTGAGCTACATAGTGAGACTCTCGAAACAAACAAAATACAAACCTGGAGGGCCTAGGA